ACTGCTTTTTTTTTTTTTTTTAATTCAGAGCCACACAAAACTCCTGTAATACATTACACGAGTGTATTTATTTACTTTAATGCATCTTTTACAGTTCTCCCTTTCCAGGAAACTACTTTCCAAACGTCACGTTGCTGCTCTTAACAAAATAATTTAACCAGTGGAAGTATTTTAGTCTACTTTAACAAATGTATCCACAGTTTGACTCACAGTGCCCTTCCAAAAAGCATCAACAACATATTTCTAATATGAGTCTGCTTTATTCAGTGTTCTTCTGGTTTAATTACTCTGTCTGTTGGTTTTTAAAGTAGGTGACCTCTCTCTGTAATTCTGCCTGAGTGAACAATGAATACCAGAGGGTCCTTTTGTGACTCTGTTGGTAGAGTTCACAGTCTGTGTTTGCTCCTGAATGTGAGCAATAAGACACGTAAGACATGAAAATGCAAAATATCAGCTGAAAAAAAAAAAAAACTGGATGTGACTCTAGGCTTCCCTAACTGATGGTTACTTTTAGGTAGCCTTCCTCGTCTTTTCATTTCATTCATAATGTTTAGAAACACAGTCCAACATCAGTTTTTGTTAATGGGAGATCAAAATTGCAACTTTAAAAACTTTAGACAGAGTAAGGTCATTCTTCTAGTTCAGGCCACGTTTACATGAAAACAATCCACTGAAAACAGGATCGCTTTCTGTCTGGGTTTGAAAAAAAGTTCCATGTTTTGATAACAACAGCCGTGAACATGGATCCAAAAAAAAACAACTAAAAGCACTGGCTCATGGCTATTGGCTGGACTCGTAATGCACATATGTGTAGAGTCACTGTTTTCAGAGGAAAGGCATACTGCCAGTTTACAAAGTTGACAGACATGTTGTAGTTTTCAAAAGTTTGCCCTCTGGAACACTTTTTCAAAACTTTGTAATTTCAAGCAACTAAAACGCGATTGTTGCGTAAACAAAGCCACAAGGCAGGAAAAGGTTACTTTTTTTGTGTCTGAAAGCATCGTTGAGTAATGAGGTCCTTAATGTCAAAAGTAATATCTCACCTGAAGAGGAGAAGCTGAGGTACTTCTGCCGGCCGTTGCCCGTAGAGTCGTAGAACTTGAGAACGTCGAGCACTGCCTGCGGGTTCTTCTTCTGCTCCGACTTGGTGATGTTTGAGGTCTGCAATAGTCGAGCCCATTGCTCCGGCATACCCTGTGTGCGACAAACAGCATAGTGACAACATGGTGAGGAAAAAGACGAGCCGGAAGGAAAAACTATTAACGTGTGAGATCAAGCAGACGCTGGAAACTCACAGTGAACTCTCCTGTGACAGCATCAAAGCCCACATGTATGGTGTGTTCAAAGTCTGACGGCGGTGAGATCTCTGGTCGTTCCTTGTCTCTGTCTTTCTTTCTACCACCTGCAAGTTGACGAAACATTATCAAGCTTACACATGACAATGATTGCCTCGATCACAAACAGACAAAGAAACTGAAATTTATTCAGCCTTTGTGTCACCTTTTTCTGCCCCGGAGAAGATTGAGATGATCTTGTTGCGAGGTTTTCTCTCCTCGGGCACAGACGGCAAAGGTTTGGAGCTGTGATTGGCTGAGAGCGAGTCTTTCCCGGAGCCGGTGCTGAAGATGGTGCTGCTCATCCTGACCGGTGGGGCAGGGGGTTTATCCTCAGGGTCACCGTTATCACACATCACTGGAGGTTTCTGTGAGGCTCACAGGGCTGAGAGGGCTGCGGGCGAGGAAGGAGAGGGCAACAAACAGAGAGGGAGCGAGGCAGGGCTCACGTCAGCATGAAGCACTGCTGTGCTCATGCGCTGCAGGAGGATTTAACGACAGCAGAGCAGAGAGGAAGCACCAAGGGTTACCTGGAAGAAAATAAGACACACATTTCAGACTACTTCTACATCTGTGACTACATTTCCTATGAACCACTTCCCAAAGTGGCATGCAGTAAGCACATTGTCATGTCTAAAGTTATCACTTGCCTCTACACTTTTTTAAACATAATGTCACTATTTCATGCTATGTGAGAAGTCAAGTCAGATGTTTTACACAATTTAGGAATCATCACAAAAAATTACTTTTGTATGAAATAAATTGAAATATAATGTCAGTTATTGGCTTTAGATCAAAGACTTAGCCAACTTTGAATATTGTTATTGTAGAAACCTTGATGAACACTGACCCAGGTGTTTTTGTTATACTGGTAAACCTATATAAGTATATAATCTTGGAACAATATCTATGTCAGGCTCTACATCTGGAAATGACAGGAGAATTGGCACCATTGAAGCTGTGCAGTGTTCAGTAACACAACAGTGATCTGTGAAAACACTGAGCAGAGATAAACACAGGCTGTCATGTTTCAGTCTCATTATATCATCTATAATTATTATGAAGATTCAGCACAACTCTGGAGATGTCAAGCTAGCATTTTAAACTTCAATACAGCACTGGTAAACAAACATCAAACAATCGTAACATCTGTTTTAATACCACAACAACCAAAAAAAGAAGTCCCTGACATTAATATGACCAAATACTGCAGACAAACTCCTGAACTCCACTGCTCTTCTCGTTGCCGCAGCTTTTGGTTAATAATATGACTGACGATTTTACGTTTTTTAATGCCTCAGTAAATTTTCGATATCGCTTGAGAATGCATCGTGTTTACCTTTTTTTTAAATCTAACAACCTTTACACAACACACTACAGTACAAACAAGCAGTGAATTTTAGGAAAACTTACATAATTTGACCAATTTAGAATAGAATAGAATAGAATTACTTTATTGATCCCAAACTGGGAAATTGTGGCGTTACAGCAGCAGGTTGTCCAAACACACAATATTAGCAAATCTAATATTTAACAATAATATTAAATACAAAGTAAATAAGCACTAAAAATAAAAATATTAAAACTAAGAATGGGAATATATATAACCAGGATTTAACTTAGCATTACTAGTCTAAAATATGAAAGATTAAATGTAAATGTGCAAAAACAGAGTTGTAAATGGACAGTATTGACATAGGGAGATGTGCAATCAGTGATACATAAGTTAAAGTGCATGAGTGTAGACATGTCAACATTTAAGATGTGAATGAAAACAAAGACTTGCTAGATTTATATATATTATATTATATATTTATAAATATAATCTACAAGAAGAACAAAACAGACATTAAATCTTATTTTAATCACAACTCATACAAGAGTCTAATAAGATAAGAGTCTCCATACCACTAAGGACCTGCCAAACGTAGCCAACACAATGTCTACTTCAGACAGTGTGAATGTGATTGTTTGTATTGTATGTATTTATCCTCTTAAATGCACCTATCTCAAAAAAAGATGTGGTTTTCTTAACGCTTCTGTAATTTTCGATACTATCAGTCATTAAAATAATTATATGGTTTAAAAAACGATAGAAAGGTTGATAGCATTGTCAGCTGCCTCTTTTGTGTCACAGCTGAGGGATAATCACGTTAAAAGTGAATGAATATGGAATAATAAAGGTTGATATTATAACAGTGAACAAATGCTATCTATTAAGTACGCCTTTCCAACATTTAAAATGCTAAGATGTTGACATCTGGCGCTTTATTTATACATATAACGGTGTATATGTGTGCACAAAGTGTCCTTCAGAAGAGTAACAACAGGGGCGGCTAGCATGCTAACGTCACCGTCCACTACTTCACCAACAAGTGTGCTAACTACGAGCTAACATTAGCAAGACAGACTGAGCTAACGCCTGGACTATAACGGGATTATTAATCAGCCTGTTAATGTTTCCATAGTCTGAACAGCAGATTCAAGTGTTTGACGGGACAGGAGGTGAGTCAAATAGAGTATAGAGTAGCAGAGACAGGCTAAGTGTTGAGGCTAACAGAGGCGGTGCAGGTTAGCGGGGCTCACCGGAGGCTCCACAGCAGCTCAACTTCAACACAACTTTATCACTACGCTCCTCGACGGGGTGGAAAACCTTTGTTTATCCTGTGAAAGTACTTCCTTTGTTATGTGGGGCTGTGGTGGTCCAAAAAAAAAAACTACAATAACGGAGTAAAAACGTGACTTTAACTATTTACAAAGCAACTTTTCTGGTGTCTCCGCGGCCCCGGGACGACTCCGCTATGGCGGAGGGGAAGCGGAACTACCGACCCAGCCCAGCCTACTCAATGTTTCACATGAAGGAGGGTTGTCAACATTCACGATACTACGATACTTTTCGATAAAACCATACAATCTCTGTTATTGTAATAATCAAAATAATCGAAAAGTGCATAATCTTTGTAAAAACGTGCAGATATCCAGTCATGTTAAACCAAAAGACTTAAAGAGAGAGAGAGAGAAGACTGATACAAATAAGTTGGCAAATGTTTTGGTACCGAAACATTTCCAACTTTTTTGAACAATTTAGACAATGTGCAGGAGTAAGCCTGCAGCTTTTGTAATAAAAACATGAAATATCAAATTACCCAACAATAAAGCAGTAATAAGAAATGGTTTATAGCCATGCAGTATGCAAATTATAAACAAGGCCTGCACATTGTTTTACAATGTTCCAAATTGCTTTAATAAAATAAAAACTAAAGCATTTTCTTTTTAAAAACGAAAATTGACACCAGTTAATCTGAGGCTATAAACTTCATGTCTGACCATTTCATCCAACAGTTCAAACAACAGATGCATACTGAGTGAGAAACATAGAGGTGAGAAAGCATCGCTCCTTTACACAAAATAAATTATCACAATGAATTCCATTCTGTGATTAACTGCGCAGCCCTAATATGATAAAGATATGTGTAAACATCATAGTGCCTCAAAATGGTAGTATGTGCATATATGACATTCGAAAATAAATAACAGAATGAAGGACGTATGTACAGCTTTATATATAAAGCTTAAAGGTTGTCTTATTATTGTGATTATTATTTGTGAGATCATTACGCTGTGATCCGTGGCTGAACATCAGAATCAGGTTTGTTTCCAAGTGTGTTTACACATACAAAGAATTAGTCTCTGTGTTTCTGCTACAGAAACAAATAACACATAAGTTAAAAGCTTGTGAGCAGTTGCACTGCTACTGCCATTGGACTTAAATAATAATAAACAGTAAAGAATGAAATATGAAAAACAATTTGAAACAAAGTTATGCAATAGCCCTTTGACCTGACTTGTGGATTTGATCATCTCAGAAAAAAACCCTGAGAAATGATCAAATATAATTCATTATTTGAACGGTTTTCACAAAAAATGTATTTAATGTCTATCAATTAACAAAGCAGAAAAGCCAATTTATATACATTTCAGCATCAAGGCAATTCTAAGCGCTTCACATGAGACATCAAAACATGAAAAGGGGAAAATAATCACATTAAGAGGACATTTAATAATCACAAAAACAAACCATTAAAAATTAGAGAAGAACAAATAAAGCAAGAAAAAAAAAACTAAAATGAGACCGCTTTAAGATGCAACTGTACAAGTAACAGTGCAGCAGTGTTTTAAAGGTTAAGATAAAAAAATAAGATGATTTATTCAAATAATTTCATGACAGCAGCTGTACAGTCTCAGTCTTCAGCCTTGATTTGAAAGAACTGGGAGTTTCAGTAATCCTTATGTGGTAGGACAGTGAGTAGAGATCCACTGAGAGTCGTTGTCTCTCAACCAGAAGGTCGAGGGTTGTCAAAGGGGGGGTGTTTCGTCTTTTTCCATTTTGCCAGAATGATCCTGATGACGACAAATCTTTTTTGAGTAGAAGTTTCTAAGGTTTTTTTGGGGGCCATTTTTACCTTTATTGGATAGGACAGCTGAAGGGGGACAGGGAAATGTTGGGAGGAGAGAGTGGGGGATGACATGCAGCAAAGGGCCGAGGTTGGTTAAGAACCCACGGCCGCTGCAACGAGGACTATAGCTGCTGTTCATGGGGAGCGCAACATAACCACGAGGCTAACGGCTCCAGTTCCTGAGTGTTTAACACAGCAAACATTGACTGTCCCTGTTTAAACGATTCGATGTGTCCACATGTATTTGGACAGTCCTACACAGCAGATCATTGTTACGAGAAGAGTTCCAGCACAAACAGGAATCACCAGAGATTCGTCTCCAACTGGAACCTGCACACTCACAGAGCCCTGGTCCTGCAGGATAAAAGAAGAGAAAGGAACATTAAACCGCTAGGATCGTACTAAGTTTGACTTTATTTAACACAATGAGAGAATTTATCAATAACCACCTGCTGATGAGGAAGTTGAAGCCATGCACATGTGCTTAGATTTTTGTGAGTGCAGGGAGCTTCAACGACTGTATGAGGCTCGAGGCTGTGGAGCTGCGTGCCTAAAACAAAAAAAGAAGTTTAGATCCATCAGGACAAAAGAGCTTTAATATCCAAATGATTGTTTTAATGTTCTATATTATTGGTACAATCAGACATTTACCCAACTTAAATGAATAGAATAGTTAAAAAAAATAAGTAAAACAACATCTTTCTTATATGAACTCTCAATATATGTATTAGACAGACTGACAGACAAATTAAACCTTAAAGGCTTTATATGTGATTTTTTTCATCCAGCAGATGTCGCCCTTGAGCACCAGCGTGAAACCAAAACAACTCACGGTGCATTGTTGTGTTAGCATGCTAAATGCTAGCGATCTTTATTATGCTCGTATCTTCACACTGCATGTAAATTTACCTGAAATGAGCGTGATCTAGAAACACAGTTAAGCAGTGAGTACAGTATGTTATTCTTCTTTTCTCTAGTCCCTCAATTAAACAACTTTTATTCATGAGGGGAGGAGTCAGCTGCCGTCCCGGCGATGTAAACAAACTGAAGATAGGACTCTGAAAACTCTGAAAACATCACAGACAGTGGGACTCGGGTGTTACACCCATTGTAGACAGTCATGACTCACAGAGTTATTTTCAGAGGATATACTTGATTTCTATTATATTTAAGTGTGAAAAAATCGCATATAAAGCCTTTAACAATAACATAAATTAAACTAAACTAAAAAGGACTATGAGACCTATGCTATGCAGCATCACAGCAGCATTTATCTGGCAGGTTAGACTACTTTAGCTCACATAATAAATGTGAGGGTCTTTCTTAGTGGAGTTAGAATGTTCTCCCTGTGCATGTGTGGGTTCTCTCCGAGTACTCCGGCTTCCTCCGACAGTCCAAAGACATGCTCGTTATATTAACTGGTTGATTGACTGGCAAACAGTTCAGTGTGTAACCCCGCCTCTCGCCCAATGACAGCTGGGATCAGCTCCAGTCACCCGCATCCCCGAGCAGGAAAAGCGGTATAAATAATGGATGGATAGATAACCACTACTTTGAATGTGCTCTTACTAATTTATGGAACTTCTGGTATGATTTAATGCGAGTTTAATGGGTGTGAACGTTTTTCTTATGGTGTTTTAGCATCTAATCTAGGAGATTGTATTGCTTTAAAACACAGGGTAGCAACAAGTATCCAAATATCCAGAACTCTGACAACCTTATCACAGAATAAATCTCATAAACTCACATTTTTCAGCCCGTAGCAGCAGTTTTGGAGGTTCTATTTCTACAGCTGTAAATGCTTCCCCATCAAATGACGGCTCGTGGTATCGAGTGTGAACGGGGATTGTTACTTTTATCAGTCTGGGAGTTGGTCCATCGGGGGCAGGATACACATAGGTGATAAATCCTGATGTCTTATGAGCAGGTAGCTCCAGGTCAATGGCTGAATTTATTAATATCTTAAATAATGAAGACATAAATATTTAGGTTATTACACAATGCACATTCCTGGAGTAAATAAATGTTGTTTGTAATATTTATTCCTACAAATATATTGTGTTTCTGAGTCATTCTTACCTGCCAATCCCTGTGATCAGCAAGCTGGTACGGATCGACATAGACCCCTCTGGGCCACCTGTGAACCAGCAGGACTCTGACCCACCTGAGATCATCAGGGCTGAGCTCCACAGAGGTCACCAGCTCTCTAAAACACATCACAGACCATGTCTTTATTCCTCTCCTGAGCCAAGAATACGGTTGTTAATCCATGTTTGAACCCACACCTGTGGAAGCCGTTCTTCCTGAGCTCCACTGCCACAGCGGAGGATTCAAGCAGCTGCTTCAGGACATCACAATGGTTCTCTTTCTTCTCATCTGGAAACATCATCATAATAATAATACTCTTTATGTCACACATTTAAAAAGGGTTTACAAAGCAGGGTTGCCTGATTCCATATTTTTAAGCTGATATGAGAGAAGTAAAAATCAAACACAATATTTATTTTTGTGTTACGTGGGGCCCTCTGCCTGCTGGGGGGAGCAGGTAGTGGAAAGACAGATACAATTGACCCTGCAGTGTTGAGGTTCATAACAAATCTTAAGGCCCTTACTCATTATCTCATTTATGATCGAGTTGACTGGCCTGCATTGTCTATTCCTATTGCCATTTCCTCATTTATTAGGCTACACTTAACCTGCTTCCTGCATACTTGTGTAATTTTAATTATGTGAAAAGGGCTGGAAGCTAGAGTCTTCTCTTGTAGATGCTTTGACTGAAGACTTTCTGCTGATGTTTAGACTTGCATTTGTAATTGCTCTGTGTTTAATGTCTGAAACGTATTTAATGCGCTGCTGCCTGACATGGCCACAGACGCTCTTGTAAATTAGATTTGTGATCTCAATGAGATTTCCCTGTTTAAATAAATAATAAAGAAAGAACAAACACAACCATTTCTTTTTTTTCCCCCATGCACAACACACTCCGCATGTTTTAGATTGCTGGGTTTTTGTTATTTTAGTTTGTCTACTGTTGATGTAGGGAGGGATGGAGCAGGTCAGAGATATCATGCCTGATTCATGCAGGGCTTTAAAAAAAAAACCAAAAAGGTTTTTTTTTTTCAATTCATTTTGAACTTCTTTAGAAGCCAATGCAGAGAAAATAAGATGGTGTAATATGAGTGGATCTGTTGGACCTCCTTGACAATCTTGCAGCAGCATTTTGCAATTATTTGTAAATGGACAAGATACGACTTATTGAGGCAGGTGAACAGAGAATTACAATAGTCAAGGCGGGAAGATACAAAAGCAAGAATTAGAATCTCTAACTCAGCTTCAGAGATTGTTTCTTAAGTGGATGAAACATGTAAGAAAAAATAACCTTGCCAATTCCCCCTATATCTGGCTGGTGCAAATGTAATTCACTGTTTATAGGTTACTAATATATTCTAAATAATAAATCAAACTATATAAGGTTGCAATTGTGCAACAACAAAACTTAACAATCAGGTGAATAAGCTTACATCCCAAACTTTGTAGCAATTAGCTACTGATAGAACAAGCAGTAACAAATAACATTTTGTTTTAATTCAATTTCCACCAAAGAGGATGTTGATTCTGAATCAGAGAGCAATACATTCTGATACACCTTCATCTGGCATGTCTTCAAATGACGATATTTAAACAATAAAACTCACCCTCTACGAATGAACCATGACATGACGATAAACAAGCTAAAACGGCAAACAGTGAAAGATACATCAAAACAATAAAGGGGAGATAAAACAAGCTTGTTACAGCATATAGGTTTTTTTAAACTTGTGAGGTGCTCTGTGTGAAACTGTTGCCGGAAAAGACTCCCGAAGGACCCCTTAGTAGTGCTATGGCGGCTGTTGCTGTGCCTGACTAGAAATAATAATAATAAACGGAAACTGGGGGGAAATGTTAGGCGACAATTCCCTTTATGAACGTGAAACATTTTTTAATTAAAGAAATAATTTTCTAACTACGCGATATTGAAGGGTAAAAAGAATGGCTGTTTAAATGTTGGCTCTAAATCCACGTAGGCTTTATTGAAGACACGAACGCCCAGGCAACAGGTGACGCCACTGTCCTAAGAAAGTCGACTAAGGACGATTTTTAATTCAGCTTTATTATGTCATTATACAAAGTGTATTCTTTGACGTGGTGAATTGAACGAGGTTTTGACTGCTGGAGAACAACAGAGAGAGAGAACAGGAGATGAGTTTCAAGGCGAAGCGATGCGGAGTGCAGTTCAGTCCTCCCTCTATAGTTTTAATTTATCAACACAAAGACAACAACAGTGTGCGGAAAAGAATCATACCTGTACGGAACTTCTCCAAATATTCTGGTAAGGCAAGATTTACTTACACACGTCATGTATTAAGTTGTTAAACATCCGAAGCTTTGTGGGGTCTTCTTCGTCCTGTAGGTATTTTAAGGGCTCTGTGTCTGAAGTGATTTAACCCTACTCTTCCACAAGTGGATCAAAATGACCTGTAGTAGAATCAATTTGTTTTGAAGCAATTTTTGTCATTTTAGTTAACTTGTATTGTATATACATTATATTTTATAACAGTAGGCCCAATAGAAAAATGGCAACACTTGTATGTGTGTGTGTGACTCGTCTTCTTCCAGCCATGACACCTTGAGGAGATATAAAGGAAGGAAGGAGGTTTAATTATACCAATCTGATCAGATCAAATACTTTCTGAGGTATAAAAGATAATGCTGACATGCAGCAGACCGCCCAGTTGATAACTATCAAAGGTTCACAGATTAGTCATCAAACAAAGACTGTTCTTGGAACAATTTGTCTGACACCTACCCGGCAGCAGCACTTACAAGCGTTACAAATCTTGTCACTGATGGTCTTGCTGACGTTTGTATCTCATATAGAGGCATACAAATAATTTCAGCCTGTGTCAAATGTTAAAAGTCCGGATGCCCAGATAATGAGGATTAGCGCCACATATTTTTGGGGGTGGGGGGGGGTCTAACTTTTACTTATTTTATATTTTCTAGAATTCTTAAGTCTGTCAAAATGATTTTGTATTTTATTAATTATTATTAACATAGTGCACTTAGTTTCCAATGCCTTTATCGGCATGTAGTTTCAACATTTTGTTCACTAGAGAGAATCCAACATTACCTTCACTTCTAATTTTCTTTCTTCCTTGTTGTCTTTGGTGGTGTCCGAGTGTTTCACAAATCTCAGTGGTGGTTGCACAGCTCGGCTTCAAAATCCTTTAATTCACACCCCAGTGAGATGTAAATATTCAAATTAAAAAACACATGATGATAAGGGAGTTAACTTTTTCTGTCCATCTCGTCCAGACTGCAGCCTGGCAGCTGAAGGCTGAAGAACAACCCCCGGCACAGGGACTACCTGGACTCGGTGTCCCACCGTCAGCTGGAGAAGCTTCACATGGTCCTGCGGGATCACATGAAAGGCTTCAGCCTGGAGCACAGCCTGGCCTCGTTCCACCTGGACCCAGAAGAAGACCTGAACAAACTGGACGATAGGGAGCTGACTCGCAGGAAGGAACAAATGGACGAACTCTTTGAGAAGAACCGTAGGCACAAAGATGATCCCGACTTTGTTTACGACCTGGAAATGGATTTTACTAAGACCAGCCAGGAAAAGTGCAGCTGGGACGAAGAGTCTGATGACGGATTTTAAAAGTCTGTTCTGCTGTAACTCAGACGCTTTACATCGTAGTTCTGGTTTCCAAACGTTTCATGATCTGTAAATATGCTTTCTGGCACACTGACAGTTGAAAAAATAAGTCTATATTAAATACAAATCATTGGATATGGAGAGTAAAGTCTCAAATCAGTGTCCAGAGTTAATTTGATGGCAATCCCAGACGATGAACATTAAATCTATAACTCAATTAACCAGTAATACAAGTATACAAATACCAGTAATTAAACTGCAAGCAAGGGGCGCTGTACATTTGCATCACATAACATTTTTCATTCCAACAGCAAAAAACTAAAATGCATGGATAATAGTGAATATTTATTTGTTATAAAATACTGCATTTTACAAAATACAAAGACTTTGGCTCTTTTATTTGTGGCTTACACCTAAATGAGTGATATTCACAGTCGAGTATGAACGAAGATGCTAAAATCCCATTAAATAAAATTTGAAGTGTACACACCAATAAGAAAGCAATACAACAAATATATCTTTGGAAAAAATGGTGTCCACAAAATATTGTTTCATATCATACAAAACATATATATATATTTTTATATAGTTCCATGTGGTTCAAAGCGATGGCAAAGTTTAAATGAGATAAAGTATTCCATAAAACCAAGCCTGCAGCTTTCAAACCTCTCGAGGGGAAAATTTCATTCAAAGTGCAAAAAAACCTCATTCAGCTGACAGGAGACAGCGACCGACTGACCAAAAGTACCACAATACATTCAAGGATGTCGCAGCTTTTCTTAAAATCATTCATTGTTTGGTTTAAGATTATTGAAACATTTTTTTACACTGGTATCGATTGCAGTCATTTATGCTGTGTCATTATTTTCCCCGAGGAGGTAGGTAACTGAAATCTGACATATAATTCCTTTTACCACCAAACGTTCAGTAAGGATTTAGGTGTTTAAATTAAACTTCTCAGCAGGCTTATCATTTGTTTAAAAAATACATCTTTATAAAATTGACATTTCAAGTATGCTAAAGCCACAATCCAGGATTTCTGAGTACGTCAGTCATGACAGCATTTACACTATGAGACTGAAAGTGGAAGGACTTTCTGATTGGGTAGAACTTGTGCATCTTTTACACTAATTTACAGAGTACACAGATATAACAGGTGAATCCATTACTGTAAAGCTATCGGACAAAGACAGCAGTTTGAAAGTTGATGACACGGATACGGTTACGTATAACAAGAATTTGTTGGTGCCACAGGTGTATCTGAACTCCTGATCAGCATCAGGTCTTAAAATATGAGTATTACCACCAGTTCTATGGAGAGTTATAGGGACAGAGACATATATGTTTATATATCACACTATTAAACTACATTAAACATAGATACATTATTAGGCGAGTACTTCTAAAAAAGATATTTCATTTCTTTTTCCGGTCTTGGGTGCATCTGGGACAAAACCTGAGAGATTTGAAAGAAAGGGGGTAAAGGATATCAGGCATGTGTTTGTCAAAGGACAAAAAAGCAGAAAAAGAATTAAGAGCATAGTACAAGATTTAAGGTACGTCAGAAGGGGTGTGAATATGTTGATGCCATCCAAAAGTTAGGGCACTTTGATGGTCAAAATGCAAATTTGACGTACTATATTGATGAGGTGTGATAACACCCTTCTGACCCTTGGGTTGAAATTTTATCAACTCATTCAAAAGTTCTTACCATTTTCCTTTGGGTTTGGTGGCGAGATCCACACAAGCAAAGTGAAACCACTCAATTGGACACTGAAGGTAGAAAGAAAAAACATCAGTATTTCAAACAAGAAATCAAATGAGTTCTGATGAGAAAGAACTGTAATAAATAAAAACTTACGTCTGGGTTATCACATCCGATCATCTCTCCGTACGATACCTGATGGCACAGACAGTACGTGGGCTCGTTGGGATCCACCGGCATGTCCAGAACGTCTGACGGCTGCATCGGCAGGAGAGCATCGCTCAGGTCAGGGCTGAGAGGTCAAAACAACCAACAGAGGGGGATTAGTATTTAATTATGAGTACAGGACGTTCAGGTCTGACTAGACTTGTCACAAATACATTTTAAGCTTAGCTATGACACTAATAAATATCAAAAATATCTATACCTATTTTGATACCACAGCAACAAAAACAGAAGTCCTAGACTTACATATTGGGTCATTTGTAATTACCGCAATTTTTTTTTTACCACACTTTTCAAACTGAACAGATCAAAGTGGCATGCCAATATTTTTGTGTAATTTAGACAGTGCTCTCTCCAAGTTAAAATATAACTAAAGATCTGAAGGTTGTTTTTTTTTTTTTTTAAAGCTGCCATACTTTTCAATACTATTGATTGTTAAAATAAAGGAGACTGTATCGTTCTCAAACATGTGGTATCAAAAAGTATCGTACATTTTGACAACCTGAGGTCTGACTGAGCCAAAGGTACCTGTTGATCTTTTTCTTCTTTCGGGGAGAATCTTCTTCAGAGCCTTTCTTTGCTCTTCCTCGAGAACTACGCTTTTCTCTCAGCCCCCGGGACTCAGCTTCTGTTGGAAATGTTTAAGATATATGATTAGCAAAGGAAGAAATCTATGCATTTTTATACTAAAGACGTATTTGTGTGAATGTAGTCTGTCAGGCAGTGAACTCACTTTTCACACCTCTTCCCTCTGAACTCTCGTGGCCGCTCAATTCCAGTTTCTCCTTCAGCTCATTTTCAAACCGAGCCAGATCTGCATCCAGCCTGCGAATGTGTTTGTCCACCTGCAGGACAAGACGTCCATGACATTAAACCCTCAAAACAAACGTTTATAAATCCACAACCTGGTAACAATGGTAGAAAACTTGAAGGTGACCCGCAGTTGAGTTTGTTGGACTGACCATTTCGTACGTCTGCATTGCGAGCTGGACTTTGTCGTCGCTGAACTCTTTGCACTTGCTGTAGGCGTTCTGGATCTTCTGCAGGTGTTCCACTCTCTGAGCTGAAGCCAGGTTCTTCACATTTGCAATGTACTCTTCAGCCAGTTTGTTGATCTCCCCTTTCTTTTCTGCACATCAACATCATTATTGCAGACAACTAGGCTTGTCTGGAAGGTTTCAGTTAGTAGACATTTTGAAGTGTCTAGGCAGAGAGCACAGGTGTGATAATAATAATAAGTTAAGTTGAGGTAGATCCAGGGTCCTGATTGCAGAGGTGCTATCCAATTTTATTAATGCTTTTTGCTAATGCTGTTACACTTGTGCCTCTGTTGCAAGACAAATCACAACATCAGCATGTTTAGGACTAAATCTAATCAGCAAATTATTTAAAATTAAGTTATAGATGATGCTCACCTTCAGTCCTGTTGTCAAGGTCCCTCATCAAAGTAAAGTTCCTCTGTAGCTCACATGGAAGGTTTTCAATACCTGAAGAAGAGATAGTCAGAAAGATGAGCGAGATTTTTAACTCTACATGCTTTGTTTTATCTATCTAATAAACAAAACGGGTGGGGAGAAATTTCGACTAATGTCCTTGGGTCCCAGAAGTCTGTGCTATACATTGTTTTTACCCCTGAAGGGTAAATGATTTTTGCAGCAAAGCATTAAAAGGACAGAAAACGACAAAATACATTTAAAAAGCGAATGAGGTAAATGTAAGATGTAATATAATAATATATATCATATACCAAATGTCTGTGACACATAAGAGCAATGGTAATTTTGACAGATATTTTAGATTTAGTCTTAAGTTTTTTGCTCACTGAGTCTGTTTTTACTTATGTGTTGCTTGGATCCAGAATCTAAAAAAACAAAAAAAAAACATTACGCACAGAACTCTTGCACACCGAGTCTGATGGGTTTATTTTTCTAATAAATGCGAAAAAAAATCCCAGTCCCAGAATCATCAAGCAGTGAAGATAATTTTATGCTTCTTTGACTCCTTGAACAAAGAAACATCAAAGACTGGATCCATCCCATCCTGAAAACAAGACACAGTCCCTTTAGATGTCATTTAGCTTGATGTTTGCATATCAGGCGTCTCTGAATAGTCAAACAACCATCTAAACGAGTTGGACTGATGCGAAAAAACGCATAAAATAGAACCGGGGTCCCTTTACATAGAGATAAATATAATCAGTAAGTGTACAACCTGAAGTATTACTTTCATAAAGATAGATAAAGGAATTGTTTTATTTGCATAGGAAAGAGTCCCCATGGATGGAAGTAAGAAAAAAAAATGTTGATGAAAAAGAAGGTAATGAAAATGCATGTGATTTATGACACAGAATAACAAATGAATGTAAATTGTTAACTTCCACCCTTACAAAAATAATGAACAGAACACATACACGGAGAACAAGTTGCAAATATCTCAAAATGATTTTGTTGCATTTATGTATTTATATTTTATTTAGGGTATTAACAGTACCAAATAGTGAATATATTGACCTTATTAAATTGTGCTAGGTAAGCATTATAGTTTTAGAGAAAATGTAGTTTTTAATCTTTACTCTCTCTTTAAAAGATCTAATGATATTTAGTGTGTAAATTCAAACTGTGTTTTTTTCCACCACACTGTGACGCACTTTAAATTCCCCGCCCCGGGGACTCGCCCCGACGCCCCGACGCCCGACGCCCCGACGTGTTGACGGGAAACTCGGTCACCAACAGGTTGTAAATGCACATCTTTACTCCTGAAAACATACACGTTTCCTATAAAAAAAAAATCTAATGTTTTAAAGCGATGGATATGCCTTTAACATATTAAACATAGTTATAAACCCATCATTGCTTGCTAACATTTAAATCTGATATATGACGACACAGAAACAAAGGGTTCATCTCTGTTTGTCACACAGAGACACGAGAAGTAAACTTTATCAAACTGAGAGGAGGTGCTAATCAGTTAGCCTGAGAGCTAACTAGTGACCTCACTGCCAATTGCTACTGGGCTGTATCTGTCAGTGGCCCGCAAAGCGAAAAAGTCCTCGACATAACCATTAAAGTAGACCTCAAACATGTGAAATGTGTTGGACATGTTACTAGCATTGCAACATATCCACAGATACTGACTGTCAAGGTAATGTTCCAAGTAAATTGCCGTCGCCATGTCAGGTTAGCTGTGTTAGCTGCTGTGTTACTCGCGTTAGCTCTCAGATTGCTGTCCGAAGAGTTTGTTTTGTGAACCCTGCTGCCCGTCGGTCAGTGAGGTTGGAGATATGTGATCCCGCCTGCTGTAGCGGACTCCTCCGGGCGGTGGTGGGAAGGACGCTAACTGTTGAGGCTCAGTTGGTTTCCCTCCAGTTCTTCTTCGTTCACATACACTGTTCGTGTTGCATTCGCGTTCTTCCCAGATACTCGGAGTTCCCAAGTTTAGAACTTCAGACAAATCAAAACACAGAGCTTTCTTTTTTTTCCTCAGCATGTCTTTATTTTATGGAGCCCCTGAAATTTCACAAAGTAAAAAAATATATATATTAGAAATATCTTGTGCCCACAAGTTATTATGTTGTGCGCGTAATTGATTGAAATATCACAATTTGTGTACTATATCTCTGTATATAGCTTTTTATAAAACTGTACCTGGACAACATACATCATTAAAAAATAATAATAATTTAAAATATATATATATATATGTATATATTCTATTTTTTACGAGTTATCTGTACTCATTTGTATATGTTTTAAGAACAAAATTACATTTTCAACTTGTATTTTTTAGTTATACACCAACTGTTTTATGTCTAGATGCTTTTGCAATACCGCAATTTTGCAGAGCTCTGTTTCTTTAATATTCATTACTCTGTTCTTTTATCGTACTTAATCAGAATCAGCTTTATTGGCCAGGTATGCTTAAACAGGAAGGAATTTAACTTCGGTGAACCGTGCTGTCTATTTACAAAGGTATAAAATTAAATGTCAACAATAAACAAATAAGCAAAGGCTTATATGTACAAGACTAAATAAGATAATAGTGCAGTGGTGAGTAGTGCAAAAGACGCTGAATTAAAAATGAGGTAGTTTTACAGTATTTACATAAGTGTGCGTAGCTTGCTAAGTTAAATCAAATAATATATACTTTTATGTACACTCACAGAGACAGTTTGGTTCCAGAGTTACTTCGCAGCGACAGGTCTGACACTGTGACATCAGAGTTCATCAGAGAGACAACCTGGGGGAAGAAACTGTTCTTGGTTGTATGGGCGTTTTGGTTTAATTGTATTTTATTTTCACTTTGGCAATGTTAACGTATGTTTCCCTTGTCAATAAAGCCCCTTTGAATTTAAATTAAATTGTTTTAAATACATGATTTAAAAAACGAATTTGCATTTTGACAATTTCACATTCCGAGTTGTTGTTCCGATTTGAAGGCGCAGTCACCGATTATTCCGACATAACATGAACGCAACTGGAGACACGAACAAGCTCATCCTCGCCGTGTTTCCAACGCTGTCAGCTGACAGGTTACGTCATACATAACAGACACCTCCCTCTCCAAAGAGATCGAAGGCTAGTGATGATGCTGTGTGGGCGGAGCTTATGAACAGAAAATAACGGCGGTCTTCAGATTGTGTCCACTGGCCTTTTTAGTCCCGGTTCGCTGCATCCTAACGGAGCATTTCATCTTTCCTTAAATCATAAAAATAATCAAGTAAGTAAATAAATTATACAGCTTCTTTACCAGCAAGTGTACCGGTAGCATCAGTTATAAGGACTGCTATTAGCTTTGTATCTTATTATTAACACGGAACTAGTTAGCACGTAGGTTAGCTCGCTGCTGACATGTAAACAAACAGCTTGAGTTGAGGTCAGATAACTTTTGTTTAGTAAAGTAGAAAAAGCTTAAAAAATAAACGTAACATACTTAGCATCTGTCTCAGTTGAATACTGGATTTGTTAAGCTTAAAGTAGCTAATTTATACATTTATAAGAAATTAGCATTACCTGTTCACAGCTGGCCTATTGGTGTTTAAACTACTGTAAACATTTTCGATACTTTTTTGAAACAACAAAATAACAAACAAAAAAATTCAAAACACGTTTTTAAAAAGAGGAATGAATCCATAAAATAAATAAAAAATCAAAGCCAACTCCTGAACATTGTTTAAATTGCACAAATACGAAATTTAAATTTAAAAAATATTTGTTTTCAAGATAAAAAAAACCAAAACGTTGCCAACGTATTTCTGAATTTTGGACTGCAAGAGTTGGTCCAGGAACAGCTGTCCCAAGTAGTAAAAAAAAAACTTATTGTCTAACTTGTACGCACAAGATAATTACTTGTTTCCACAAAATAATATAGTGTTTTCACAAGATTATCACTTGTTTCCACAAGATAAGAATGCGTTCCCTTTTGATAGTTATCTTGTGCATACAACATTATCATTTACTTTTTGGGACTTCAGGGGCTTACATTATTTTTCTCTTTTATTTTGGGGGTAGGTGTCGGGAATTTTTCGTGACTGAGAATGGAAATTTGTATTATTAGTTCACTATTTGAACTTTTTATCTTATGTAACATTTCTGATTTTCTGTTTGGATTGTAATTTAGTCTTGGGACCTTTTAATGTCCTCTGAACTTAAAATAATGAACTGTCATAGAAATGCCTCTTTAGGCTTTCCGTAGTAGTTTTGATGTGTGTGCTCTGAATCAGGAAGCAGATGTTTATTTGTTTGTTTATTTGCTTATTCAGAGCTGATGTCAAAATGATATTTGGTGTCCTGCCCGTTCTTACAAACTGTTTGTCTGATGAAGGTCTGGACCTGACATGTTGCCTATAAATGAACATTTGCAAGTAAGACAGGGTGCAGGAGTTTAGTTGTAAGTTTTTTAAAATGTTCAAATCAATAAAACAATAAAAGAGGCAGTGCAGTAAAACAAGAAAACAAAAAGCAATTGAAAATATGAAAAAATAATATCAGTGAAAAAACTGTGCAGACGAATAAAAGTAATAAAATAGGAAGGATGAAATTAATGTAACCAATAACAAAGTAAATGTAAAAGGAAATCATTGGAAACTTCAGAGTGATTATAAAGAAAAGACAACATGTGGGGGTCCATACATCTGATTTAAAGTGTCAGTAGTTTGATTCTCAGAGGCAGAACTTGACACTTGGTATTTGTTTAGTTTCAGGTGCTGCCTCCAGGATGGCGATGGTGAAGAGCGGTTGGCTCCATCGACAGAGTGAGTAGTCATATTGAACCCTTACTGAATTTAATGTTGTGCTTTATGTTATTGTTATCATTCTTACTGATTACGTTTATCATCATCATGATTCAAACTGTTCTGCTTTTAAATCAACATTTAAAAACTAAATTGTGTTTTTTAAGAATTATTTTAAATCTTTTTATTCTATTAGAATGTTAATGTTTTTTATGTGTAATATTTCATTGCTTTGTCTCTTATTTATTTATTGTCTTAATGAATTGGTGATTAATATTTTGTTTTTTTTCCGTTATTTTATTGAATTCATGTCGGTGTGCAGTAAGTAACACTGTTATAGCTGCTCCCTTGTGAAGCATGTTGATCTAAAATTATAGCTGATAATAGTATAAATAAATCCAGTTTTATTGATGAGGTTTGATTATTAAGTATTTCTGATATATATATCTATATGATAAAGTGACTTTGAGATCCTGTGAACCTGATTGTGGTTGTGTTTGAACTGTAGCCTGTGTTTGTTGCAGGCACTATCCTGCGCCGCTGGAAAAGAAACTGGTTGGACTTGTGGGCCGACGGACGTCTCATGATCTACAACGATCAACAAAGGCCTGACATGGAGGACGACATCCACATGAGGGTCGACTGCATCAACATCCGCAACTCAGCCGCGTGTCAAGGTAAAGGTACATGTCACCTGGTACATGATGATGTCACCGATGAACCCTGTTTGTGTTCAGACTTGTAAACATGTGGCCTCTGCGTCTTCTCTCAGAGCTGAACCCTCCGGAGGGAAAGACCCGGGACACCCTGCTGCAGATCGTGTGCAGAGATGGTCGAGTTATCAGCCTGTGTGCGGACAGTGCTGATGATGCTCTGTGAGACAACACACACATTATTTGTTTCTCATTTAGTTTCTACGTTAATGAGGGTAACTTTTTATTTAGAGGCATTCTGTGTCTATATTTCTAGAATACATTTATTTCACAGCAGAGTGTCCTCTGTGTTGCAGGGCCTGGACCATGGCGCTGCAGGATGCCAGAATTAATGCGGTGAGTTTCTGCTACATTTAGATTTATTTTCATAGTAAAAATAAAATAGCTCTCAGTCCTAATTTTTATGTTTTTTATTTCAGGTGGTAGCTACTCCTCAAATTGGATTTGCACAGGAAGCAATAGCCTCTGCTCCTCCCCCTTACTCAGAATATGCTCCCCCAGCTCAGGTAATAGATGTAAACTTCATTAATATGACTCCGTTTATATTAATTAAGTTCAAGACTGATTTATATAAAAGTCTTTTGGTCATAAACCTGACCATTTCAGGTTAAAGAGTTCTGATTTTCTCCACTAACTCAGGAATGAACAAGATAATTTATCGTGTTTTTAGGGGATTAAACGTTTTTTTTAAATTATGAGTCACAAGTTACAACAACATGAGACAAGCAGACGATGTATGATTATATGATACTTTATTCAAGGTCAAATTAAAATTAAACGTAACCAGTGGTGCTCATTACTGTCTACATACTTGAATATTGTAACAAAAATAATGTAAGAATATTATTTAAAATCACCTCTGAATAAGAATATTTTCTTATGTAATGCAGACTACAATATGAGACAAGCAGCCTATGTACATCAGCATTAGACTTAATTTTAGGACAATTTAGACCCGACAGGTTAGCTAAAAAAAACCATTTCTTGCTTTCTGAATTAAGAGGGAATGAAACGACTCACAGAGGATCAACAGAGTGTTGTTGTGTGTTCTTGTTCTGCAGGTTTATTCTCTGGGCCCATACAGAGAATATGTTCCATCTCCACCTCAGGCCACACAGATCATGTACTCTGCTGACGGACAGCCCGACGCTGTGGCTTATCCTTACCAGTATCAAGGTAAATATCTGCACTTTTCTCAGCTCCTAATTAAATAATCATGTTGAGTGTAAGGTGTTAGTCGCTGGCTTGTGAGGAGAAGCGGGGCACACTGAGGTTGTTTAAATGTTCAATACAAAACTATATTTAAAACTGTAAAAAATCTGCGCTACCTTAAAAGAAAAGACCCAAAGCTTTAAAAGAAAATTCAGCCATATTTTAAACCAAAGCCTGTAGCAAGAGAAAGAAAAAGAGAAAGAAAAAGTTCCCAACACATTTGTGAAATTTAGACAGTGTGCAGGAGTTTGAGTGAAGTTTTTGGCTGTGGTATCAAAACAGGTAGGAATATTGTTTGACCTTTATAGTATCCAAGTTTAACATTGTGGTTTCTAGACATCCCTTAAAGGCTTTATATGCGATTTTTCACACTTAAATATAATATAAATCAAGTATATCCTCTGAAGATCACTCTGTGGGTCATGACTGTCTACAATGGGTGTAACACCCGAGTCCCACTGTCTGTGATGTTTTCAGAGTTTTCAGAGTCCTATCTTCAGTTTGTTTACATCGCCAGGACGGCAGCTGACTCCTCCCCTCGTGAATAAAAGTTGTTTAATTGAGGGATTAGAGAAAAGAAGAATAACATACTGTACTCACTGCTTAACTGTGTTTCTAGATCACGCTCATTTCAGGTAAATGTACATGCAGTGTGAAGATACCAGCATAATAAAGAACTCTAGCATTTAGCATGCTAACACAACAATGCACCGCGAGTTGTTTTGGTTTCATGCTGGTGCTCAAGGGCGACATCTGCTGGATGAAAAAAATCACATATAAAGCCTTTAAGGTTTAATTTGTCTGTTAGTCTGTCTAATACATATATTAAAGCCTTTAAACACACGGCTCCAAAGGGTTCACAGTATAGCTTGTGCTCAGTCCTCTTATTAGCAGTATACAAACAGGATGTAGAGGAATATGTGATCCGTGTGTGCTGGATATGTGTTTGTTCACAGTGATGTCAAACAGGACAATAAGCAAAAGTGTCATATTCAGCTGACTCTCAGGGAAACACTTCTTCACTCTCCTTATCCACTGCTCACAGAATTAAAGGAACGATTAATCTTCACAGTATAACACCAAGTGAATTCAACTTCTGGGGATTCAATCTGTCTATTTAGGAAGCACAAGTCATTGTGAATCAGTGTCACTTTCGTGCAAATAAAAGTGACAATAAATATAAATGATAATGAAAAAAGCACCCCATATGATTGTTATTCAACTAGAATGCTGAAGAGGACGACATTATCCTCATTTATTGCATCATATAAATGACTTTTAAGACAGTAAATTTGTCCCCTTATTCTTTTAGTGCTTTCAGAGTTGCAGAAAAATCCTGATATTTTCCGGAGGAGCTGTATGTGCGAACACAAGCAGCCAAATTTTTCACGCAGACTTCACCTGGAGTCTCTCCTGTCAGCCCCCTAGTATTGTTTCCGCAGCAAGCCCGAGTGGGCCTATGTGAGAAAACAACAGAATCTAATCCCGAGAATTCACCTCGAGCCAATAGGAGGTGGAGAGACATTAACATAGTGTGACTGGAGTCAGTGCGTAGACTGTCTGCACGTGACAGCTACAATCTCTGTGCATGTAATTAAACGGCTGCGTTATGTTTTCTCTTGGTCAGTTTGTTGTTCGCCGCTCTTTTGTTGATAGTGTGATTACATCGAACTACACGTAGCATTCATACAAAGGCAAATATTCTTTTTATAGCATCTAGGGGGAATCTGTTACTGGTTCTTCGTCCTTTACTTCAGCATCATATTTTTTACGTCAAGTCTTACCTCAGGAGACAGAGACTGTGTTTTTCTTGAATATTCAATTCAGACAGGTGCATTTGAGATAAATGAATCTCCTGCTCACTGTCTCAACTGCACACATATGTCAGGATTTATTCATGCAATTTGGTTAGGAGAAGTCAGTCTGCGAGATTTGATAATTAAAAACAAGAAATAACCCTATATTTGGTGCCTAGGACTTTTATTTCTGTTGCCGTGGTTTTTTAGCTACATTTGAAAACTAAACTTTGACACCTCCCTGATGTCGTCGTGTCCAGTGGGTACGCCGCCCCCGGGGTGAACCACGTGGTGATCCGGGAGCATCAGCGCGAGGACGGAGGAGCATTGGGAATGCTTGCCGGAGCAGTGACAGGTTTGGCGCTCGGCTCTCTCTTCGTCTTCTGAAGTTTCTTTACCGCTCTCCGTGTTTCTGCTTCTTCTTCTTCTCTGTGCCGTCACATGAGCCGGAGTGAAATGTGTCTGTGGGGCTACATCCATCAATGAAGCATGATTGTGATTGGCGGTGAATTACTCCCTCTGTGTCCTATATATACAAATATTTAAAGTCAATACTGTTAGCACTTTTTCATAAGCCCCACCCCCTTTGTGTTGTCTGAATATGAATGTTATTAACCAAAAAACACAACAATTACTCGCTTTTAAAGGACAGAAAACACACAACTTTCAGATCCTCACACATTTCTACTTCATATATGCAGATTTATCTTAATTTTTTACCGTTATGTTTTTATGCTGCTCCGTGTACTGTACCTTCACTTTGTTTGTTGTGTGTTTTGAATATGCAGTGTTTCTTCAACTCCTCAGGTTATTTGTGTTTGAGGTAGGCTGAGATGAGAGGTGTGAACAGAAGATTGAACAGTATGTGAAACCCTTTTAACTTTGAACCCTTTTCACTCCTGGCCAATAATGAGTGGACTCCTAATTTTCACCGATCAAAGTTACCATATCTGTAATGAGTTTACATAAAAGTCAACAGTAGAAGCTTGTACGTTATAGCTGCAGATATCTACTTGGAACTATTTGACATATGAGACATTCATTTTTGTTTTATTAAATCAGATTGCTCTCACTAAAATTGACTATATGAAGGATATGTTTGCATGGAGTTCTGCCCAATTAAAGAACATTTCAATTTCTACTTGAACTTTTTTCCGCTTCTGATTGAAAGTTAAAAGGGCTGAGCGTACGCACGCACACACATGAAGCCATAATCACTCATTTTGTAGCTTTTCTGAGGAGTTTGTTGTGATTGAAGTCTCATGACATCACAAATAGTTTCATGTTTGAGGAAACGCTGACATGTTTACCGTGCTTTACATTTTAAAGGGACGTCTCTCCTCTTTAAATGTCTGCTTTATTTGATGCTTTATTTAAGGTCATTATTTCATTGGCAGCTTTAAATCAGTCTTATAGTTTAAAACACTTTTGATGTGATTTTTTTTATTTTGTTTGTCAGTAGACTCGAAGCAGCACAAAAAGTCTAATCAGGTTTATTCTTCTGTTGGGTCCCACTTCAGTTGAAACATCTCACTTGTATTATTCTGTGGATTATATTCATTCACTAGAAATCAGTTTGAGTCTGCTTTCAGTCAAAGGTACAGCTTATTGATATTTAATAATGACACTAATAAACACAAGTATTTACTATTTATCAAACTGTCAGCTTGTGTGAGCAGCGTAACATTGATGTCATTTTTCTGAAACTGTTTAACATGTGACATGAACCTGTTTTATTACTCTTAAATTAAAACTACTCACATTTAGACCCTCACGCGTTTCAAATTCAAATATATGAAGGTCAACTAAGAGATGTATTTTAACAATTATATATATGCACAAAGCAATTGACTCCTGGTTTTTGATTTCAAGTTTTTTATTCAACCTTTTTTGTTCACAGAATATTTTTAAAGTAAATAAAAAGTGCAAATAACCGGCATCAGTTTTATCATAGTAACAAACAAGTGACCTCAATAAACACCGAAAGAAAATGTCAATACAAAGACAGAATTCACACTGAGAACAAACACGCGTTCAGCGTCTTGATGGGATCAATAGTTCATTACAATCGATCAGACACAGTACGAGTGTAGAAAACATGCAGACATTTTAGCATATGAAAGAATGAGCAATGCTTATAAAGTAGTGAATGCATATTATTTAAATTTAAACAAAGAAACCCTGAAGGCACCTTTAGAAGCTGCTTGTCATAAACACAAATAAAAAGGCCAGAAAAGCTTACATGTTCCAAGAGTTTGAGCCTTTATACATTTGACCGTATAATTCTTCATTTTTAAAGCCCCAAAAATGATTATTTTAAAGAATAACTTCTTACCAATATATCTGTAGTCAAATCAAAAATAACCAGAAAACACATTTACATGTTAAAATTCTTTGAGCATTTACACACTTTACAGCGTGAAATAAAAATTTTAAAAGGCCCAAAAGTGATTCTGTTAAAGACAAAATAACCTCCCGTTATATCAGACAATCAACAGAGGTACGTTGTGTTTAAAATGTGCATTTATCAACCGCAGCATCATCACCATATTAAACAAAGATGGAGGTCAATTGTTCTTCAAAATTTATATTTCAAGGCTCTGCTTGAAGGAATAAAAAAAGAAAAAGAGAAACTTACAAAGATGTAAACATAAAATATATCAGTGATAAAAAAAAGTCCTGAAACAGATTACTAATTTGTTGGTATGTTGACAAAAATTATAAACTTGATCAATTATTTTAGTCAAATAACTAAGTGCTGCTGCAAACAATAAACTGAACTGTAGCTAACAAGTGGACATAGTTAAAGTGCCTTGAACGTTCATTCTTTCCACTGGCCAGCAGGAGGCAATATACAAAGTATATGATTAAAAAAGCCCCAATTCTCAGTTGATTTATTCCATCAGTGAACATTCTTCTTAAGAGTTAATGTTCCCAATCTCTAGTTTCAAGTCTTATTTAATACAGCATGATGTTTACTTTTTAAATTATGGTCCCATTTAGAGTCAAACAACCAGAAAGAGGGGAGGGTCAGGGCGGGGCCTAAAAATTGCTGTTGAAGCCTTCAGATATACAAATATCACTCTGTAGAGTGTGCTCTTCCAGTAACCTCTGGTGTTGAAAAGTGAAGCCAATGCTGAAGTGTTAAAAACTGCAGTTCCTTTAGTGTCCACTTGAGGCTGCTTCCAAAAGGGAGTCAGTTCCTATAGAGCCTCATGTTAAAATGTCCATCTTTACAGCAGAAATAAACATGTTTACAGCCTGGTACAAAAAAAAATTGGTACAGGGTGGATTTTATTATAAATCGTCTGTTTTGATTTTATTAAGGCCAAGGGGCGTGGCTGTTCTGACTAACAGGTGGGCTTGTGGTAGCTGTTTGACAGGAGGCTTAAGGCCCTCCTCAGCTCCACCTCTTTATTTGTGTAGATTGACTGTAATTCAGCATTTCCAGCATGGCGACCTCCATTGCTGGGCCTCAAAACATCTTTTTAGGAACCAAAGGGTGTTCGTCACTGAGACTAAGTCCATTTTTCATGCAGTCTATGGCTCCACCCTCTTGATCAAATATAGCACTTCATGCTCTAAAATAAAGATGGAGCCTGCATGAATGCTTCACTCGAGCCTTGAAGAAACAGGAGATAGGTGGCTATGTCCACTTCTTATATACAGTCCGTGCTATTAACTTGCTTTTCATTTGTAACACAAATTCTTATCTTTGCTTTATGTTCCGGTAACCTTCCATGGGTATTTTTTAAATCATTTTTGACTTTTAAAGGAGAGAGAAATCAAGATTAATCAAATGAGAGAAAACATGACAGTGAAAGACATCATAAGTTACAGTCCTCATTCCATGAGCTTTGAGTGATCGAATGTTTTCAACCTTCCTGACCAAAATCTTCAGTAAACTTTCTCAGTTTCTCCAAATCATCGTCGTTCACTGTGGGTTTGGTCTTGCTCTGCGATCTCAGCATGTCGTCCTGCACAGAAAATATCAGATTAGGGTTGTCACAATACCAGAATTTTAAACTGTGATATGATTTTATCTGTTTCAGTACAGCCTCGAGGGGACACTCAGGGAACTGCTGTTTTTTGCAACTCTACATTGGCTTCATTTTTCAACACCAGACGTTAGCTCACTGGTGTCACTGAGAAAAATACCATGTTTTCTAAAGTCTATGGCCAAAATCAATACTGACATTATGAGAGAATAATTCAAGAAAATAAAATGTGGGGGTGCATACCATTCATTTTTAACGAAATAAAAAAAAAAGTTTTGATTTTAATGTGTACATAGGTACCTAGTATGGTTTTGCTTTTCCACGAGTGAAAGGTGCTGAAAGTGCACAAAGCTGCTGACGTTCCTCAATATGTTAGTTTAAATACATTTGAATAAGAGTCTAAAACAAATGATTAAAGCAAAGAGGACGCTTGTTGAGTCTATAGCCTGGCTCTCACTACAGGATAAACGGGCCGATTTGAGCTCCGATTCTTCCTTACCGACAATCGCAGGGTCGCTCCCAACTCAAGGCTGCTCTGAACCGATCATCTGCTCAGCGAGTGGTACGACGATCCAATCTTAAAGTCCCCGATCTGCCTGGCGATTGTCCGGGACTCCCCGATTTATTTCAAACATGTTTGATATTTAGAATTTAAAATCTGGACGATTATGTCATGAAAGGGTCCGGCAGAAGTTGTGTGTGACTATAATATAATCACGAGAGACAAGGGAGGACTGTAGTCAAGGCGACCAGCCGCAGTACGCAACCTTTTTTGGTTTTTTGAGTTTTCGGTACAGATCATCAGTGCAGCACTTTTCTGAAACTTGTATCCATATATCTACGATTGTATCAACTTTTCTATATCCTACAACAAGTTCCACTTCCTTCTCTTTTACTGACCACCGTCCGTTGGAGATTTCAAATGAAACTTTATTGACAATTGTCAAAGCTCCGTCCCGATTTCCTCGTACAGTGTGAGCTCTCCGGCCGTGCCCAACTCTCGGTTCGTACGCGTGAGCACATAAATCGCAAGGTCTGGTTGGGCGTCGTAAACGATTCAGTCGTACAGTGTGAGCTGACATGCCACCCCGACTTTTATACAATCGGGGAAAAATCGCACAGTGTGAGCCAGGCTTAACAGAGGTAGAGGCTCAGGCTCGGTTTTCCAGGCTATTTGTTTCAGTGGACTTTTTGTAAAATATTTGTTACAATGCACATTGCCGAGTACAGAAGGCTTTGCTCACCATGCACACGACCGGCTCTAAAAGTTTATCCCCAGAGAGGTCCATCCACGTCATCTCCATGGCGCCGGGATCACCGGGAGAACATGGAGTCAGGAGGTCGTCCACCACAACGTCTGGATTGTTCCACGAAGACCCGCGAACCTTCATCAGAATGTTTTAATGTGTGCAAAGACAAAAAGAAACATCAGATATGAACTCAATTCCGACACACTTAGGATATTTTCACTATTTCTTAATCAAGAGTGCAGAGATAGTTCATGATTCTGGACCTTGCCGTGGAATTGAAACACACAGGTATATTAACAGGCTCAGGTTTGTTTTTACCTTTTTAAAGTGTGTGGCTGACTGAACCTTCCTGACTGGCTGCATCAGAGCATCTCTGACGATGACGCTGATGTCTGCCCCGGAGTAACCCTCTGTCTTTTTGCCCAGAGTATTGAAGTCGGCCTCCGTCAGCCCATTAGGGGTGGAGCCAAGGTGGAGTTTGAACATGAAGGAGCGAGCATGCTCCTCGGGCAGAGGGATGTAGATCCGCTTCTCAAACCTAAGACAGACATTTTTCACCTTTTACATCCAGACAATAATCACTTAAAAATTCTGAATCAATGGGACATCATTTTCAAATCACGTCATGGCTTATAAAATGTAAGACCATTTTAGACAATATGGTACAATTCCAATACCTGTGATGGTACAGTACAGCCAGGACTTTCTCTGGCTATGGAGCACATTTTGACAAATCTATCTTCCCAGCAGCAAATTCCTCCTGTTAATGTCTTAGAAGATAATTTGTGAAAAAAAGAAAAGTTAAACTCACCTTCTCCTGATGGCAGAATCAAGTGTCCATGGTATATTTGTGGCTCCCAGCACGAGGATTCCCTCATTATCGTTCCCGACACCTGAGA